GTAATTTAGAGCATTTTTTCATATGACTATAGATGGCTTTAATTTCTTCATCTGAGAACTGCCTGTTCATATCCTTTAATCTTTTATCAATTGGGGAATGACCTGTATTCTTATACATTTGACTTAATTCTCTATATATTTTAGAAATGAGTCCCTTATCAGAGACACTAGTTGTAATAATTCTTTCCCAATTTTCTACTTTCCTTCTAATCTTGGTAGCATTGGCTTTGTGCAAATACTTTTTAATTTAATGTAGTCAAAGTTAACCATTTTGCATTTCTTAATGTTCTCTATCTCCTGTTTGGTCATGAATTCTTCTGTTCTCATTAATCTGATAGGTAAACTATTCCTTGTTCTCTCAGTTTGCTTATAGTATCAGCTTTTATATCTAAATCATGAACCCATTTTCACTTTATTGTGGTATATGGTGTGAGATTTTAGTCTATGCCTAGTTTCTGCCATTCTTTTTTCCAGTTTTACCAGCCGTTTTTGTGAAATAGTGAGTTCTTATCCCAGAAGCTGGGGTCTTTGGGTTTATCAAATAGTAGATTACTATAGTCATTGACTACTTTGTCTTGTATACCTAACCTATTCCACTGAGCCACCACTCTATTTCTTAGCCAGTACCAAGGAGTTTTGATGATTGCGGCTGTATAATACAATTTAAGATCTGGAAAAGCTAGGCCACCTTTCCCTGCATTTCTTTTCATTAGTTGATTGATATTCTGGAATTTTGTTATTTCAAATGAATCTTCTTACTAGTTTTTCTAGCTCTTTAAAATAATTTTTGGTAGTTTGATTGGTATTGCACTGAAAAAGTAAGTTAGCTTAGGTAGAATTGTCATTTTTATTACATTAGCTTGCCCTACCCATGAGCAACTAATGTTTGTTCCAATTATTTAGATCTGACTTTATCTGTGTGGAAAGTGTTTTGTAATTGTGTTCATATAGTTCACAGGTTTGTTTCAGTAGTTAGACTTCTATGTATCTTATAATGTCTGCAGTGCTTTAAATGGAATTTCTCTTTCTATCTCTTGCTGTTGGATTTTGTTGGCAATATATAGAAATGCTGATGATTTATGTGGATTTATTTTATATCCTGCAACTTTGCTAAAGTTGTTTATTATTTGAAGTAATTTCTCACTTGATTCTCTAGGATTCTCTAAGTATATCATCATATCATCTGCAAAGAATGATAGCTTTGTTTCTTCTTTGCCTATTCTAATACCTTCAATTTCTTTTTCTTCTCTTATTGCTAAAGCTAATGTTTCCAGTACAATATTGAACAAGAGTGGCAATAATGGACATCCTTGTTTCACACCTGATCTTATTGGAAATGCTTCTAGCTTTTCCTGAAGTGATATTCTCTGGGCTTTCAGAGGTTAATGAAAGAAGGTGAGAGGGACTTACTTCTTAATATGCCAACTTGCTACTGAAGCAGAACCCAATTTTCAATATGCGATTGTGATTCATTGTTCTTATTGGGACCAAAAAGGCATGTTGCTTAGCCTCTCTACAACTGGTTATGGAGTAGCTTTCTATCTGTCTGCCATTTTTAACGTCTCAGGAATGCTAAGATTTCTTAAGAGGATTATATCTTCTTGCTGAAATTCCTGACAATAAACATGAATTGAACATGCATTTCTTTGAGCATACTTCTTGGCTAATAACATAACTAGTTGGTAAGGTTCTGTCAACTTCTCATCTAACATGCATTTCTGGTCATCAGTATCTATAGTTACTTTTTCTTCATGGACACCAAAATAAAGTTCCAAAGATAGTTGTGACTTTAGTTCAAGCATCAGTAGGTTGAATATAAAACCCCTAGAATCATTCTACAAATGTACCAGAAAAGCCCTATACTGGTGGCAGTGAGATTTTTCTCCTGGTTTCAGTATCCCTAATATATTCCCCAGAGTTGGGTTCAAGTTTTCTAGTTATGAATCATCTTCCAGATAACAGATGTGACTATAAGCCTGTGAATGCTTGCTAGAGCTAATCTGTCTTTGAACACTGTACTTTAACAGCCTAGACTTTGTTCTGAATAGATCCTGAAAGGAAGGCCATACACTAAGAAATCCTTTTTGAATCATACTATTGCAAGGTGGATGGAGGCTTTTAGGTTCTTTGCTGGCTATGCTTGGGTATGCTGAGTAATGTGATTCATCACCCCTGGTACAACACTCTTGTTCCTTATGTCTCTTTCCAGAAATAGGAAAACAATGAAGAAAAGTTTAGAAATTGTGCCAATACTTACATTCTTTAAGTAATCAATATGAGACAGTAGAGTTTTCTCTGCATAAAACTCATATAATACTCTATTTCTGAGGGATATCTCTGGAGATTTTTGGCAATAAATTCTGTTTCTTACTAATTCTTTACTGCTTTCCTCATATACATTCCCAATACCATTACGCAGAAGTTTCATAGTCAATGAATGATATGTCCTGGGTAGCACTATTTCTTGCTACCAACTGTAGGAACAGAAACAACCCAGAGCAGTACTCCATTGCACAGCTTCAACATCTTCCATTGTCTCAATAGAAAGAGACTTCAGAAGACAGGCATGACTGCTTTATACTCACCAGCTCACTTCTTTTCGGGTAATACTTCAAATAGCTCTTAGTCAAGCATTAGCTCTCTTCATCAACTCTCCACAGACAACCAAAGCAAAGAATGTTGGTTCAGTAAAACAGGATTCTGCTGCTGGAACGTAGTATTGTATAAAGTTAGTATATCTTTATAGATTTTAGCTCATTCCACAATAGCTGGGTCTTACCCACACACCTGACAGCTTTTGAAGACATCAGATTTATTCCAATTTTTATTTTGTTCTCTATCAAGCATTCATTAGCAAACATTCAAATGAAACTTTCTGTTGATCCTTCATAGAGTCATCAGGAAGAAAGCATTTTTGGAAAATTTAAACTACTGCAAAAATATAGCCATTATTATTCATGAATTCAACAACATTTCATTCTGGGACCTCACAGAGCACTGAGTTTTTATCCTTCTTCAGCTCTTCACTTGCTACATTGGACATTTTAATAATTTGCTGACTTTCCCTTTCTTTCTTCAACTTGGACCTCTAAGAGAGGAGATTTTTTTTTTTTTGCTGTGCACTTTTTATTTAACACACTGCTTTGCACAACACAAGATCTTAAAAAAAAGCCATGACCAGCAACCCTTGTGACCAGAGCAAGGATCACAAAACATGTGCCAGAAAGACAAGTAGATGAGAGAGAGAGAAAAAGAGAGAGAGACAGAGAGAGACAGAGACAGAAACAGAGAGACGGAGACAGAGAAAGAGACATACAGAGACAGAAAGAGAGGGACAGAGACACAGAGAGACAGAGACTGAGACAGAGAGAAAGGCAGAGAGAGAAAGAGATTGAGATGGAAAGAGAGAGAGAAAAAGAGAGAGAGAAAAAGGGGGAGAGAGAGAGAGAGACAGAGACAGAGAAAGAGAGAGAGAGAGAGAATTCTGAAACCTCCTGTCTGAGTGATCCTGAGCAAACTATTTAATAATGTTAACACCCCACTCAGTTCTGTAGCAGGAAATAGTGGAATCGTTGCTAACCTGTAAAAGAACTGTATAAGAAAAGAAACATTTTTACTTAGAAAATATCCTAAGTTTAGAGCAAAAATAAAAAAAAAAAAACATAAGTACTATATAAAACTCAAATCACCTACCTACAAAAAATCATAAGGTGACATAATACTCCCTAAATATCAGCATCAGGCAGCAAAGCCTGCAACTCCATGCCCTGAATAGTATAGTTAAGAAATTATAGTTATTAACCTTGAGGAATGATGCATGCATCATTTGTGAGATGGGAATCCTTCAAAATTTTGCACAATGTTTCCAGATTAAGATTCTGTTTTTAGTAACGACTTAAATTTCATATGACAGATATTAAAAGTCATCAAAATAAACCAAAAATCTCATTTATTTTTAAAATGCAATATAATGAAGGAGACACTTCAAATACATATGTTTATCACAGCTGCTCATAAATTTAAAGTATGGGAATTTAGGTGAGTAGAGAGAAGTGATTTGAGTCTTTTACATATCGATGTATGATCTAGTCTTGGCTGGAACCATAGATTTTGTTCGGTGTTACTTTGTACTTTGTTTTCTTTTCATATAAAAATAAGAAATGACCAGAACGTAACAGACTTGTTCTTGACCACAAAAAGTAGGTAATATAATCAGAATTCTCACCCTGAATGTTAATTCAAAATTAGTATTCTTCCTATTTTTTTCCCCATGGGACATGACCAGAAATACTTCACATAGTGTCAAGTTACGTTAAAATGTTGGCTATTTCTAATGAATTCACTCCCCCTTTCTCTCTCCCTATTTCTTTTTCTCTCTCCTCCCTCCACTCCTTTCCTCTCCCCTCCCCTCCCCCAACCCACACCTCTCATCATTTATTTTAACAAAGGTGGGTAGAATTGGGATTTATTTCATGGTGAATTTATGACATTTTTTTAAAAACAATCTTATTTTTAAGAAATAAACTGTATGAAAAATTAATGGGTGGTAGCTAGATCTAGAGAAGAGATGGCAGCAAGACACAGTGGGTAGGCCTGTGGACTTTCTAGTAAGGAAACACAACATTTAATATGGCCTCAGATCCTCATTCTCTATGTAACCCCAGGCAAATCATTAATTTGGTTATTGATTCTTTCAACTACAATATAAGTGCTTTGAAAGTGGTGACAATTACAGTGCTTTCATTCTATGAAGCATGAGAAAACAGCTTGGAGTTATTATCAACCCTGAGTGAATATTTCCCATTTTTCTATTGACTTCCAGATTTGCCATTGTTCTGGACTGAATCACACATGTACAAAGAAGCTTAGCTTTGAGAAAACAAAATCAACATTTTCTGGTTTATTGAAAGCTGATCCTTTGCTCTCAAGTCTTTTTTTCAGAATAAAACATTTGGACTGAGATTTAGAAGACTTTTTTTTAACTTTAAAATTCCATGGCTCTAGGTTCCAATACATTTGTTCTCAGAATTTGATGATGAATTATTTTTCATCCTTTTGAAAGCATTATAACAATTTAGAATCTGGGAATCACTACAGACTAAAAGAAAGGGACTGATTGTTGGGTAACACAAGGAAAAAACAACAGAGATATGTATCATCCATGGCTTTGTGTCTTTAGAATTATTCATCATAATAATAAAGATGGAACTGAATGAATAGAAGCATATAAAGATGCTCACAAGCAACAGGATGGCTTTGGTAGTTCTGGTCCCTGGGGAAGAACTGGGATTGAGGCTGGTTTTATGAATGTGCTGGACTTGCCAGTGGTGTCTGCACAAAACAACCACCATGTAGCCACTGGTAATGGCCATGAACCCCACAAACACTGCATCATAAAGTGACTTCCAGATTATGTGTTTTGAGATAGTCATGGCATAACTGTCCACAGAACAAAGCCCGAGGTTTCTAATCAGGTTACTGTTTGTATTGTTCCTAGTGGCAGTCACATGTAGAGACACAACCACATCTGTCAAAAGATTGAGGATCCATATGAAAACACAGAATAGAACAATATCCTTTGAGGCTCTAGCTTTGAGCTCTGCTTGTATAGGACTGCCAGAACTGCTGGTAATAGCCTGGAAAACACTCTGAAGGTAATGCAAAGGGAAATGCTCCAGGCCACTCTTTGAAGATAAAAGATGATTTTACATTTAATGTCACCCATGAAAATTTTCTGAATGCAAAAATGTGTTGTCCATAGAACTCCTCTCAGGAGAATCATAGCAGTGTTGAAAAAGGCCAAATTAATGAAAATTAGTTGAATGGTTCTTATTCTGTGACCAGAGATTATATTATAGCCATAGAAGCAAAGCATTAAAGCATTCCCAAATGCTCCAGTTATAATCTCAAGCATGTAGAAAGTACACAGGATATCATGATAAGAAAGCATTCCTTATTATCTTGTATAAAAAATGTTAGGCAGATCAGAAGTTACCTGGGAATAAAAAGAGAGGATTCTGTCATAGAACAAGTAATGAGAAATGAGATTCCAAATTCTGCTCACCGCTCAGAAAAGCTTTAGTTATTCTTGCTTGATATACAAATATGCAGTTTTAGGAAATGCCTTTCTCATACCAGTTTTTTTTAGGTTAAGTATAGAAGGATTCTAATCCTTTCACATTAAAAATGTTTACATTTACAAGCAGATACTATGCCATTTATTATTGTAATTATTATTAATATTATTATTATTATCTTAGGTATGTTTGTGTATACACATATAACTTTAAGAAGGACATTGATATTTTAATGATTATCTAGAGAGTGATGACCGAGATCATGAGGAGATTACAGAAAAAAAAGAGAATCCACAGCAAAAATCACTAAAGGTCTCTAATACAAGGCAGTTTACATTTCATTTGAGATATGGAAATTTTGATGAGGAAATCAAATTATTAATTTCCAGTGTAAAATTGGTGTGTAGACAAGGAGGCATTTTGGAGAATCTTACAACGTGTCAAATATGAATAGGTCATACATGTAAATTTTTTTTTCTGTTTTGAACCCAAAATTTGAAACAGAGCAATCTTTCAAGCAAAAGAAAAACATATTTGATGTTTCTAAACTGATCAAAGTCCTAAGAGTTTTCAAACAACAGACTAGGCTGTTCTAGACATCTTGGTCTATACCATAGATCTACATTTAAAGGTTGACTGACTACTTATAGGGAATAGGGCAGGCAAGATTCTTTTATAGAAAAGTATTGGAATAGAACTCCTATTTTTGAAAGACTTGATTTATTCTTGGATTTTTCTCCCTTTCCTTATGGATTCTGCTAAAATATATATTCTTAGATCAATTAGTAATATCAAGCACTTTATGTATCTTAAAGACCATCTTAAATATTTAAGACATACATTTCTTTACAATTCCACTATTAATTTTGGATGTAGCTATGATGGATGGGTCAGGAAACATCAGAGATATTGAGGTCAGAGATACTGGTTGACCTGTACTTACTTTAGCTAGTTATCCTAAGTGAGCAGTCATTCTCTGTAGATAACTGTTATTTCTAAATGAAGTGTTCATGGCATTTCCTCAGGCCACATCTGGTGACACAAAGACAGCTAGTTTCAGTTGTAGGCTTTTTCCAAGCTCATATGTCCTTTGACTTCAAGGATTCTAATGTCATTAATATAAAGTCACCAAGGAGAATCTTTCTATAGAGAAATTTTTGCCATAAATGTAACTGTCCCTGATGCTGAGCTATCACTCAGAATTATTACAGTAAGAGCCTCTAAATATTCCAAAAGAGTATAATTCTCAGGACATGCTCTCAAAATCCAAGAATCTTCCAATGCAGTGAAAAATCACCACTGAGGTGCAAGGAGATGTTAGGGAAGCAATATTTAGAGGGCTGTTGTTGTCTTCCTCATAGACTACTGTCTCCCAGAAATACTGAAACATTAAGCAGTTGTGGCTTTTTAAAAATAGTGTGCTGTTGTCCCCCACCCCAACCACCAATCACCTTGTGTCATTACCAAGCCCTAAAATTATAATTCTCTCCTATCTTCTTTCATGTTTTACTTTTCTTTTTTTCTTCTGTCTATTCAGATTTCAACCTCATGTTACATCAGTATATAATTAATGCTTAACACTTACCCAAACGTGGTATCACTACTAGTTGCCTCCTATAGGTAGGGAACTATGCAGTGTTTTTTTCTTATTCTTTTCCTTACACATATGTTATCAACATGATCTTATCTAAAATATCAGTCACAAAGTACTTAACAATGCTATTGAAAATTGATAGCATTCAAATGTTTATGTTATCATTTCTATATATTTATTACATATATCTATTTATAATTATTCTGTATACAGTATATTTATTTACAGGTTCTGCAATATAGGCTTTATCAATACATTTGTTACTATCACTTTTTTGAAATCATGAAAGTTGAAAGTACACATTATGAAATGGAATCTGATTCACATCTGCTCTTTTTAAGAGTATACCAAGAGTATAAAAAACTAAGAAGTAGAAGTTTGTGTTAACAAAGTGAAATAATCACCAAATTTTTTTGTATGAAATTTGCTGCTTTTATGAGTGAGAAAATATGAGAAGTTTACTGCAATTCCACAGTGAATAAGTTTTAGTACATGGGCTATTTTGAAAAACATCAAGAACTGATCCACATAATAAAATTACTATAAAAACTCCTGAGTGGAATCATTGTTACTAGCATTATGTTACAAGTGCATAAATCCCATCTTAAGTCTATAGTTCAGTTCTAAGAAGATCCTACTGCCTGTATTTTGTGAGAACATTTGACTCAAGAGATTACCACCACCAATGGCAGCAAGATTGTCAAAAGAGGAGATTATTTTAGATTGTAACAATTATGATATACTTTATTCCATAACCTAGAGAAGAAAAAAAAGTCTAGTTGACATGAAATTTTGCTGGTTTCTATCAACTTCTAGATGCAGATCTCAGGCTGAAAGCTCAGAGACTCTATATTGTCTTATGGATATAAAGAGAAAAGTCAAAGGACACTGAAAAAAGACCAAGGGAACAGATGTCACAAGAGTATGTTGTAAAATCACTACCAAAAGAGTACCACGGCTTAGATGGACATATAGGTGATGAATGTAGATGCATGTAGGAAAGACTAAATTTCAAAGTATCTGTATCAAGAAAGGCAAATGGGGCAAAAAAATGGAGGTCATTGTGGTTTCCTGAAAATAATAAGAGTGACCTCAACTTCTCTGAAATTATTTCCAATCCAATTCAGTAATTTGAAGATCAAGGTAAATTCAGAAAAGTTTTTTTTAAACTGTTGCAAATTGTCTGAATGAAGATACATCTATCAAGTATATTTGACAGCAAAATACCTTTGGTTTACAGGAATCAGATGCCCAAAGTAATGAGTGCCAAGGACAGCTGGGGCCTCATGACCAGACCTTGTTCCTCATATGATAACCCTGAACACCCTGTTTTTACTCCTGAAAAAAATAAAAAAAAATTCTGTAAGTTTTTTTGGTAGATGTTCACGACTTCCGATATATGAGTGACCAAGTCTCTCGAGAAGTTCTTTATCTCAATTAAAGATGCCTTTTCCCTTCACTAATTAAGTTTGATTTATTTAAGACTCATTAGCCTTTCATTGCCTTAGAAATCAGGTTAAAAATATTTAAGTAAAAATAGTAGTAGCAAGATCAGAGAGGAGTTATTAGCCAATCTACAAAAAAGAAAGGCCAATTTTCAAATCCTCCTTTATATGAGGATAGCACTTAGCTTACAATAGGACTTCTTGTCATGAGGATGTGTGCCCCCTTTACTGTCACATGAATTCCTGAAAACCCTTTTTGTTTCCTCAACAGGTACTTGACCAATCATCTCACACTTGCCTATAGCCCTTTAAACACTGAAGTCTGCTCCATATAAATTGCATGAAACAGTCATCTAATAAAGACAACTAAGAAAGCAGCTGGGCCTCAGTTTTTTTTTTTGTTTGTTTGTTTGTTTTTTATAATCCAGTTGCCTGTGCTCTGAAATTAGAGGAGATGGCAGGATTAACTTCCAGACTCTCAAAAGTAGGCACAGTGCTCTCTCCCTGGATCTCTCTCCTTTTTCCCTTTCCCAAACAAGAGAGTCTAATTGAATGTAGCCTCCCATATGTTTTGTAATCAAAGTTTAAAGAAAAGCTGAGAAAACTCTTACAAGATTCACATGTATAGTTTTATGCCAGCTTCCCCCTTTCTACTCTTGCCTCCATGATTTTCCCTAAGATAATTCTTGGCTGCTGGGAAATGCTTTGTAACAGTCTATCTCTTCTGTAAAGAAGCTGCGGAGGAAATGAGCCCAGAGTCTCTGCCAAGGAGTCACTTTAACATTGAAACTACTGCTATTGCCATAAGGCTGTACTTGATTCAGTGGCCTCTGCCAGTATTGTTACTATAATCATTGTGAAAATCAGGAACCAGGGGCCTACGAAAATAAAATGATCTTTCCCAGGCAGCACAGACAGTAAAGAACAGAGTTAGAATCTGAACCTATCCCCTTTGCCTCCAATTTGAGTGTCCTTCCCATTTGACCCTGATTCATAGGCATCTGAGGCATTTAAGGCAGAAAGGCAGAGACCTGGCTTTTCCCAATTTGTAAAATGTATTTTTTTACAATGTAAGAATTCAATAAATCTAAGGTTCATCATAATTATAAGAGTGGCAAAAATAAGGAAGATAGAAAAGAGTAAGGAAAATGCAGAGGAAAGGAGGTAGAAGACAGGAATGAAGGTTTAAAAACTCTGCCATGAAAGCAATTCCCAGTTTCCCAAAGTTCCATTGGAATGAAAAAGGCATGAAGGCCACCAGAGAGGCAGAATAGGGCTGTAGAATGAGGCCTGCAATGGGAGACAGAGGACACGTGCTCAAACCCTCACCAACCAAGACTTTCTGTGATTTTGTAAGATTCACCAAGCCTCTCTGGGCCTCAGTTCCCTCACCTGTAAAATGAGGGCTTTAGATCAACTACTCTGACTCCTTTTGGACTTTGAATCTCTGAGTCTATATGACTGGCACAGGGAGAGAGATTAGACTGTGGAGCATTTGCTTAATAATCCCCACAGGAATTCTCAGCCTGTCATCCACAATCTTTCAAAGCCCTGCAGCCTGAGTGGGGGAGGAGGGGACAGGTTCAAACTGTAAGGCCTGAAGCCATTGAGGGCAGCAGCCAGGGGTCTAAGGCCCATAGTGCTCTGCTAAGGCAGCAAGTCAGTCAGGACTCTGAGCTTGCACAGTGAGGTTATTGGATAGCATGAGATGACTTTATTTTTTTAATAAAACTGAGCCTAAATCAGAGATCAGAGACTTCTGCTAAACCTTGGGTTGAACTCAAACTGAAAAGTTACAATTCCATTCCCTGATCTAATCAGAAAGGGAATAATG